TATCATTATAATAATATCTCATGTATTTTAAATAAAAATAGTTTTATAATTAAATTAATGTCAAATATATTCGTAATACCAATTGAAATTGAATATTTAGTAGATATGCAGTTTATATATATATATATATACATGACTAACATAAAAATATGAATGATTAATTACGTAATTCACCCTTTGTACATTTACATAGTGAAAAACATGCGTCTCCCCCAAATTTATGTATAAGTCGCTTGGACTCCAATGCGTCTTCGGGTTTACTGGAGCATTCACTCTATTTCACAAAATAATTTTCAGAGTGCCCTATTCGAACAAATTTTTTTTCAACTGCATTATTTGAGAAACTCAGCCAAATGTACTGAATTAACTATAAAAATAATATACTTAATTAAGTATTATAATTATGAATAAAATTCCGTGGAGAAGGTTTAATTAATGAAGATTTACCTACTATTTATTCTTCTTTTTTATACCTTATTGGAATTGAATTATACTTTCATGACACAACGTATGAAATGACTATCCAGCTCAGTTGGTAGAGTACACGGTTATTAATTTTGAGGTTGTGGGATCGAGTCTCATTGAGGGCATTTCATAATTTGGAGGTCTCCTACGGAAGTTGCTCTCAACCCTTAGTGTTGGGGGGACAACCTACTATCTTACATGCCCCTTACCATTATATATGAGAACAAAGGACAACCATTTTTTTCATGACACAAACGTATCAGATTTCGAAATGACAAAAATATAATAAACTTGTTAGTTGTACTGAAAAAGACATTTTCCTAAAATAATGACACTTTCGTTGAATATTATATATTTAAGAAAAAAATTATATGTATTAGTACAAATTGAATTACTTTGTTAACACATATTCTCTCCATAGAGCTCTGCCTCTAACTATGTTAATTTGCATCAGTTTAGTTCTTGCCACTAGGCAGTTGACATTAAACTAAGTTTTTTTTTAAGAAAAATAAAAATTCAAGTTAAATTTTAAGATAGTTACGTGGTACAGCTTAATAATTTAAGATTAAAAAACAATGAAAATAAAAATTATAAAAAATGTTATAAAAAATTATTACATTTTAAATTGAGCAACATTTAAGATAAACCAAAAATATTATGAAAAATATAATATTTTAGATTATGTTTAACCCAAAATTTTATTTTTTTCTGATTACATTTTCAATCGCCTATTTCTATTATTTCTTTAATCTTAAATTATATCGTCTATTTTTAGACTTTCGCTAAATTTTAGTAAAAACAAGAGGGAAAGTCATGATTGGCTACATAAGTTAGCCTACTTTTTCAACTTCAAATTAAAGGGGGAAAAGGGTAATAATGTAATTTGAGGATTACAATATTGGCACGGCAATCCTCGTCTCGTGTATCATTTATCATGATTGATATACGATTCGATCTTTCAGTTTTCACAAAGACAACGTTAAAAATGAAAAAACACCGATGAGAGATAGACCGAAAGCGCGAGAGTTTCTTTTATTAACCTTAATTATTATTTTTTCCGTTTACTAAAATTATTATTATTTTTTATTAAAATTTTAATTTTTTATTATTTAAAATATATTATCAATAAAAACAGAAACTATATTTTAATTTTTAAATATAAAATTTAATTTTTTAAAATAATTATAATAAAAAATTAATGGACAACTTTAATAGAGGAGTATTAGTTGTTTACTTTTGGCATTTAAACTCCACAGAAGAAAAGTGTTTCACTAATTTCACCGCCAAAAATCCAAAATCATATCGATTCTCTTGTTTGCTTTATGTTTTCCGAAGAATACTTCTCTTCTCTCTCTCTCTTTTTAAAAACTTTTTCTTAAAGTAAAGGAAAAAATGGCTGGTTCACAGATCGGAGAAATAAAAATGGAAGGATGGTTACATATAATTCGTTCGAATCGGATTGGATTACAGTACTCCAGGAAGCGTTACTTTGCTCTTGAAGATCATCTTCTTAAGAGCTTCAAATCCATGCCCGTTTCCAATCTCCAGGTCTTTTCGTTTTTCTTTTCTTTTTTGTTTGTTAAGAATCTTATCTTGCAAATTCCGTTACTTATTTAACAAATGTTGTAAAGAATTAATGGTATTAAATTTTTATAATCATTTTTTCGAATTAAGTTCTCGTTAATCGATAACTGCTGTAGTAAGTGAATAATTAGTTTTTTCAAATATAACTTCTAAAAAAATGTTCGTTTATTATTGATTTTCTTATACTATTTTATCTGTATATCTAATAATGATTTTCGTTGCTTAATAATGTATTAGTTGATTATGCCTTTAATATATCATATCAAACGCGTTTTCATCGAGTACTTTGATAATTTACCCTTTCTTTCTATGTAGCTGACTTCTTTGCTCTTTTCATGAATTGGTTCCTTTGAGCAGCCTTTCAGAGTTTTTTTAATATATTTTTTTGGGTTTGGGGGGGGGGGGAAGGGTTTTACCTTTTATAGGTACATTTGGGGAAAATGTACTGTCAACTTTATGTCAGGAATATTCTACTTTAGCATTCATATGTCACACAGTTTTTGTACTGTTAAATTTTAGATTTTAATGAAAGTTAAGTTGATTCGATGATAATCATAAGCCAGGCAAGTTGTTAGCTACACTTTAAGCATAATTATACAGTGTGACGCGGCACATCATCACGTTAGAGGGAACTTGGAAGAATTTCCAATGATCAAACTTAGTGCCTCTGTTTCTTGTTGTTGCAGTTCATTGTTAGCTTTGTGAAAGTGTTGCGTATATTTTGATTAATGAATAAATAAAGATGCTAAGACGATCTTTAAGTGCACATTCAATTTTTAGTTAATTTTCTTTTGTTTATATTTCTTAGTTGTAGACTGTTCTTTCGATGTTTGACGATTTTAATAAACTCAAGAGCTGGACCTTGATTTACCTTTCAGAAGCCTGGTAGAAGTGCTATTATTGATTCCTGCATTCGAGCAGATAATGGGAGGGAGAGCATTCACAGAAACGTATGTGAAATGTGTGTTTTTTTTCTAGGACTGTGGTAAAATTTTTGGTTTATGTTTTCTGATGGTTCATGCCAATGGAGATTTTCTAAGGACAGTTCTTTGTTTGACCTGTAGGTATTCTTCATTTTCACCCTTTATAATAGTTCTAATCCCAATGATCAACTTAAGGTGAGGCACATGTTTCACAAAATGATTGTTAGTTGATATGTATGATACTTTCACCTTCATGTATGAGATGTGGAATCAATTTTACAGCTAGGAGCTAGTAGTCCTGAAGAAGCAGCAAGATGGATTCAATCCTTCCAGGAAGCAGCTTCAAAGGTCTGAAACAATCTGCTTCCTCTTGTTAATGCACGTCATAAATTTTTGGCATGATATGAGATTTTATTCTATTAATGCAGGGCGGTACATACCCTGGAACAGATGTTGCTTGTTTAACGAGCAGATGGCAGTCCTTCAGGTATAGCAATGAGCAGCCATCCAGCATTACTCTTTAATATATATTAAATTTCTGGCTTTTTGCTATCTGCTCACCCATGCTTGGTCATGATTTTAGGTCTGCGCTAATTGCTTGAGTAACTTAAGTTGGATTTGTTAAGAATATTTACTAGTGATGAGTGTGAGAGGGCTTAATGCTTGTTTTGTTAACTGGTATTCTCTCATATTTATACCCTATTATTAAATCAGTTTCTTAGAATGACTCTTTGTATGCAGTTCGAGTTGTTCCGGTAATGCAAATCATAACAATTCTATTGACTGGACAATTTGTTCGTCCACAAAGATGGACAGAGTGACATCTGATGTTGTAGCACCGTCGCCTTGGACAATCTTTGGCTGTCAGAATGGTAAATTAAAAACAAATATTTGAGAATTTTGAGATAGCTGTAACTGCTTGACTAAAACAATGATGCGATGCGGGTCTTAGATTGTTTAAAGAAGCTAAAGATAGGGATTCTCATGGAAAGGTTGGTAGCTTTTGATTCACCAGTTGATGATTTTCATGCAATTGCATTTTGAGATTTCTCCCCTCTCATTGGCAGTGGGATGACCATCCTGCAATCATGGATGTGGGTGCTGTAGATGGAACTTCAGAAGCCATTTTCCAGATACTTATGTCTCTTGGACCCTCAAGATCAGAGTAAGCTGCCCAGTATTCTGTATTTTCCTTAAATTAAGCTCTTTTATTCTTTTGCAAGACCATGGCTTGATTTCAGTCGTAGACCTAACATTGCAATTCATTAGAACAGACCTCATCGTGATTGCCATTTCACATTGGATAATTTTTCATGCGCGGTTGGAGCTTTTTCTCACTTTGTAATGGAGAATAAATGCCAACTTAAGTTTTGATGCATGACAGAAATAGGAACAATGTAATATTTGCTTTTGTTAATACGAACTCCAGTTTGTCTAGAAACTCTTATAAACTTGTTTAATAGCTCGAAAAAGCTATACCAAGAAATCCGCTCTTTGAAAATGATACCATGTATAGATTTGATATATTTACTTGGTGCATTTTAATGCATCTATTTTACCTATTATTTCTCCTTTTGATGCTCTCCGGTGTGTTTTAAAGATTTGTAAGTTAGAATTCTATTCACCTTGCAATGTATTTGACTTTTTCTGAAATGTTTTCCTTTCCAAAATCAATGAAATTTACAAATTGCCTTGCAGATGGGACTTCTGTTTCTACAAGGAGAGTGTGGTCGAACATCTTGATGGTCATACTGACATTGTTCACAAGCAGCTGTATAGTGATTGGTTACCTTTGTTAGCTCCAAACTCCTGATTTTTTTCACTATGTTTTGCAAGTTAGATGTTTCTGGTTATATATATTCACTAACTAATCATAATTTCAGGGGAATGAAAAGGAGAGATCTCTTGCTGCGACGATATTGGAGAAGGGAAGATGACGGAACATATGGTAGTAACTAGTAATTGCTTTGAGGATATTCTTAGAAGTTATATTCAGAAGTCACGACTTATCTAGTTAAAATTGCAAACTGATTTCCTTGATTTGATTTTATCACAGTTATTCTGTACCACTCGGTGTTTCACAAGAAGTTCCCCCCACAGAAAAGCTATGTCCGTGCCTGTCTTAAAAGTAATGTATGCTTGAAATATATAACTAAAAGAGAACTTCCTGCATCTTTTGGAGTTCTCTATGTCCTCCTATTATACATAAATAAATACATTATAGGTGCCATGAACTGTTTTAGCCTTGCAGGTTGAAATTTAGCAAACTCCTAGCCTTGTTTCCTATGCATCTCACGCGCATGAAAGAAATGCATTTATTCAGGGATTTTTTTGTGTATTTTTATGTTGAAGCATTGTTTGGCTTCAGTTTGAATACTGCTAATAAGTGCCTATTCCATCTCTTCCTTTTGATGTTTTGTCCCTTGTATACCACACAGAAATTTATAGGCTGTGGCATATGATGTGCTTTTGAATATCTATTAAAGGAAAGAGGAAAATGTTTATTAAAAACAGAAAAATCTAAAGTTGATCATTGAGGGTACGTTTTGAACTTACTTGCAGGTGGTGGATATGTCATATCTCCTCTGAATGAAGGAAATCACTCGGTTGTAAAACACATGCTTGCAATTGATTGGAAATTCTGAAAATCTTAACTTCAAGCTTCTGCAGCCCGATCTATTACCATTCATATGCTTGAGAGAGTTGCTGGTAATCACATATTCTGTCATAATTTTGCATGATATATATATATATTGTGTGTGTTGAGTATTTTATGACTTTTTGTGATCATTTGAAGCGTTAATTTGCTAGGAATTTATGTCATGTACTTGCAGCATTAAGAGAGTTATTCAAAGCAAAACAAGGAAAATATCCTTGCACTGATAATTCATCTGGAGAGTGGGTACGGAATGCTAGGTTGCAACAGAGTGAAGAGGAGAGTGTAGTTGATATGTGCTCACAGATACAGGCTGGGAAGTCAAAGGAAAATATGACCGAAGGAATAGAAAGGCATCTTCAGAGCACTCGAGTCTGGTAGGTTTTAGTGATGCTGCCGATGAATTCTTCGATGTTCCAGAGCCAACAGATTATGATCAATCAATAGATAGGTGGGATTCCGACTTTGGTCCTGAAGTATATGCTCAGGTAGAGTCAAAGTAGTTACCATTGATTCCTACATAAAAATGATTTGCAGTTATTGGTGCTTCATATCTCATAGAGGATATGACCAACTATCGAGTTTTTTCATTTTTCTTATTCCTTTTCTTGTGGCCATATTACTAGAGTTTTTCTCCGCTAAAGGTTTTGTTTGTGTATGTTTTGCTTCAATTCTCACATGACTAATATGTGCCTGAGATATGCAGGATACGCGCCAACCGAAGTTATCAACTGCTGCTGTTTTTGTGAAAAAATTACATGATCTGGCAGGTGGTTACTGTTTAGATGACCATTATGTACTCCTATATTTTAGAAAGATAAAGTGCTGATGGCTTCCACTTCGTCGTATGTTGCAGTCCAGAAGAGGGGTTACATGGACTTGCAAGACATGACAAGAGTAGATGGCATATGTTGCTCCTATGGTAACACTCTTCCCAAGGATCCAACTTTACATTACCTTGCAGTTGGACAGAAGCAGAACCCTCCACATTTTTAATTGTGGGGAGAATTACCTAGAAGATCGTCAGAAGGTATGTAGAAAAATGTTCCAATGACACAGTGCTGAAGTGTACTACAAAAGTTCAGCTGCTGTGTTCTATGATGGTTTATTGTATGCCATCTTGCATGAATTGACATTTTATCTTTGATGATCTCTAAATGATAAACATAACTTCCATGTTTTCCTAGCATTTTTATGACAAGATTAATCGCAGATATCATATGTTGATCAATTTCTAGGCGTCCTGGATATCTCTATTGAATCCACTCTGGCTTTCCTTTTGCGTTGCTCAAATTTTAGATTTCCTTAAATTGAAACTCCAAGTTAAAATTATATCCTTGCTCTCTTTTCTTTCAGTTTAAAGCAAAGGGAACGTCAATGCAAATGGTCGCTGCAGATTGGCTAAGATCTGACAAACGAGAAGATGATTTAGGAGGGCATCGTTCAGGTTTCCCTTATTTATGTCATTACATTTTTTGTTAATTGCATTTACTATATGTTGCTGGTAAATTGGAAAAAAATTACGGAAGTGTTTATCTGCAGAAATATGCTGCTCAGGGAGGGCCAGAGTTTTTCTTCATTGTAAACATACAGGTACTTTGCTTTACTAGTCTTTTGCTTACATTTAATTCTGTCAAGCTGTAATTTTTATCTACATTCTTTTTGGTTCTGAAGCATTTAAAGTACCTTAATATTTACTGCGATACAGGTGCCAGGTTCAACTACATATACCCTAGCACTATATAAGATGAATACTCCAGTGGAAGATTCACCCTTGCTGTATAACTTCATCAACGGTGATGACACATATAGAAATTCAAGGTTTAAGCTCATTCCATACATATCAAAGGTTGGTACATGCAAGCATTATGCAGTTGAGATTGAGAATCTTTGGTTATATATTAATTGAAGCAGACTAAGCAGACTCGTAAAGCAAGGTCCTGACGTAGAGTTTGTTTTTTTAAGGGGTCGTGGATTGTCAAGCAGAGTGTTGGAAAAAAAGCTTGTCTCATTGGCCGAGCTTTGGAAATTAATTATATTTCCGTGGGAAGAACTACTTGGAGGTAAAAGATTTATGAACTGCGTTTATATGTATGTTTCGGCGGAGCCAAGCACAGTTAATCTGGATAATGAATTCGAAAAATCTTATAAAATTGCTTTATTCTCACTTTCAGTTCTCTTAGCAAGCCTCTCCGCATCTGCAAATAGGAGAGTACAAAAGCAAGAGAATTTTTTATGTATGACATTTGAAATAACTGAAATTTTGGAATCCATCACTTCAGCTTGGGATCGAAATTGGGTCATCGACGGTGGCAAGAGGCTTGGTCAGTCTCGTGCTTGGTTACCTCCACAATCTGGTTATTGAAATGGCATTTTTTATACAGGTAAATTTCAAAAAAGGGTTTGACGCCCCGAAGAAGAAAAAAAGCGTAATTTAAATTGATAAAACGTTCTTAAGATTTATATATATACACAGGCAAATACGGAAGAAGAACTACCGGAATATCTTCTTGGGACGTGTCGATCGAACCATTTGGACGCAACAAAATCTGTTAGTGTAGAAGCTTGAATTGTGATTTTTCTCAACCTGATGTTTAATTACTAAGGTAGGTTGATTAAGAAGCCTGGTGATGCTTAATGAAGAACAGTAAATGATCATATTATTATTGTGTTATGGCATGGCTGCTGCTGCTTCTTCACAGAGTTACTTGCATTCTCTATTTATTTACTTTTTAATTATTTAATCAACTGGCCATTTTCCAACTATGTGGTATGTAGATTCCATTGTATCATTGAAATGGAAAACAAGTTGTATAGAAATATGCTACCCTATGTTAGTGTGTATTGAAAAATCGAGTTTAATTCTTCTCCGGATAGGAATTGTTTATAAAAAAATTCAGTTTATTTTTTTTATTGATTTGTTGCCTTATTTTCTTTTCTAAAATTTAGGAAATATTGTCCAAAATAAAACTCGACTGGATTTGGGTCAGTTTGACGGGTCGCCCATCCAAAAGTATAGAGTAGCACCGACGCACATAATTTTTCTGCGTCTATGATCTGTCCCTACCATAAACAGAGTACAGAGAATAAGAGTTAGAACACATAATATGGAAATAAAATATAATTTAATAAACAGACAAAATATTAATATATTTAATTGATTTTACATTTATACTTACACCATTAATACGAAAATACATTGCAGATCTAATAATCCATAATGTAATATAATATTTATTTGAAACGATAATACAATACAATATGAGGGAAAAGTCCAAGTCCCAACTCTGTGTGGACCATACAGCATGTGGGCAGAAGGTAGAACTAAATAATTGGGAATGCAACCCCCAAAAATTGCAATGCCAAATTAAATCAATCCTCCAGGTGATCTCGCGTATTTTAAACTCAATTAGATCTACTTGTCACCCCCAAATCAATTTTATTTTTAAAAAATAAATATATAATAGGTTATTAAATTATATTAAATTAGTTTATAAAATTTAAATATCATAAAGTAATTATTACATTTTTTTAAATAATTATTAAATTTATCAAAACTATTATTATTTATAATTTTATAAAATGCTTTTGTAATGAATTTAAAAATAATTATTATTCTACAATATTTAAAAATTAGTGGTCATAAAAATTATTTTAACATAATTAAATAAATTCTAATGCATTTTACTCTTATTTAAATTGATTTAAACTCCATTATTCCCCCTCCCCGCTTCAAATTTACAATTCAAAATATCGTTTACAACCCTCCCTTGTCCCTACCGTTGGTTTTTGTTTTTGGAAAGTGTTTGGTATTTATTCAATAACAAGAGGGAAAATGGATTTTTCTCCCCCAGAGAATTAAACATCTGATGAGATTGAGAGATGAAAACCGGAGGCGCACAGCCATCTTCCCATGTGCGGCTTCTCACATGAACTTTTACTCTCTTTCACTAAATCCCTAAAAGTACATCCTATTCAAAGGAATCCTATCCATCCCTTCTTATTTCTCTCTCATTTTCCCTCTGATCCAAACACAAAAACAGTGACCTCTCTTTCAATCTTCTCGTTCAAACCAGGTCCGTCCGTCCCCTCTCTCTCTCTCTCTCTCTCTCTCCTTGCCTTTCTTCTGCTCTTTTTTGGTTTTTTTTTAAATGTTTGAATTTGTTTGCGTTTCTCTCTTTCTCTTCTGCATTTCGTTTTTTAAAAGGAATTATTAGAACTCTTTTATATTATTTTGAGTCGTTATTGTTTTTTAATGAAATTTGAGCTGTTATTACTTGTGTTTTCTTTTCTTTTTTGTTAATTGTCATGCTAAAATGAAGACTTAACTGATTCTCCAAACCTAGAAAATAACTTCACCTAAACATGGAACTTTAATAATA